CCAGAACTGGTGTCCAGAAAAGTGGGATAAAAATATTGCAAATAAATAAATAAATAATAAACTATGTACATACAGTATATCTTCATGTGTATGCATTCAGCTGCCTTGATCTTTCCTTCTACCTTTATTTATTTGGCTTACTCCTGGCTCTTCTTCCAAAACTGAGCCACAAGATGATGATTCAGGATGCAACAGACAATGTCCATAGAGACTTCTTAACTTGAAGCAATTAGCCTCCAAAAGTTTTTTTTTTCATCACAGTGCAACAGGACTTCAGCTGGTAACTTATAGGCTGAAACCTGTAATGTAGATTTATGCCGTGTAAGTCTGATGATGATGATGTCAGCCATGACCATAATTAAAAGTTTCCTACCTTCATCTCAGGTTCCAAAAACCCCTTAGGATCCTGGGGACCATAGGATAGGAGAGAAGTCCTAAATGTCAAGAAAGCATAACTGCCTTCCCAGAGCCAGCCTCTACCTCTGTGCATGCACTGGCCTATCAACTTGGTGGTGCATGCGTGAGCCCAGGCAGCAGCCAGCTCCTGGAAAAGAAGCCAGGCCTGCTGCCTCTCAGGTGGGCAGTAGCAGCAGGGAAGCCCATCACTTAGAGACTTGTAACACAGCATGGAAAAACGGTTCCAAGTTGCAAGTCCAAGTCAGCCCTGGAAAACTTCAAATTGGGTCTGAGTTGAGTTGCTGGTGCAACCTGAGTCAGACCCAAAACAAGTTGTGAGCCCCCTATTCCTGGTAAATAAAAATATTACTGAATGAAAAAGAAATTTATGAAGATAGAAAGCAAAAACACACACCAGTCCTTTGCAGAAAGCCAACCTGAATCAAAGGGCCTTTGCCTTGCTAGCAAAAGGATGACAGGAAACGGGCCAGCCTCCTGAAACGGGGGGGGGGGGGAAGGATTACAGAAATCGTGATACATAACAGAGTGATGCATAGTGTCACAGGTATGCACTGACAAGGCTTAATTGCTGTTTAACTAGCAAAATGGGGTTCCCGTGGAACAAAACTCCTACAATCACACAGCCAGCAAGGCCCTATGATTGTGAGAATCTGGAAGAGGTAGTCCAAAAAAGCAACATTTCCTATCTATAAGCAACTCATCCAAATAAAGCAACTCCTTCAGAATATTTTCCACACTTTACAGTGGTTTCCCATCAATTGAATTTTTTTCTTTGGTGTAATAACAGCTTTTCAAAATTTCACCCAGAAGAGATCCCTTTTTAACCCTTTATGCCCTCATAACCCCATTTAGTAGCCATCCGCTAGAATATTCCCAAAGAACTATTTGGTCATTAGCAACCCCACTCGGGCATCAAGATACTCAGGCTGCCCCAGGAAAGTAGCCTTCGTACAGTACAGTGGACCCTCGACTTACAGACGGCTCCACTTACAGACTTTTCGAGTTACAGACTTCTCTGGCCGCAAAATTTAGGTTCAACTTGCAGCCGGAGAATCGACCTACAGACCGGGGAAAAAACAAAATGGAACAAAAACGGCCGGTTACGGATTAATCGGTTTTCAATGCATTGTAGGTCAATGGAGCCTCAACCTACAGACTTTTCGACCTGCAGCCACCATTCCAATATGGATTAATTTGGTAAATCTAGGGTCCACTGTAATACTAAAGATGAGCCAGGCTGCTGACTTTCACCATTTCCTACTCAAAGGGTGTGTCCCTTTAAGCATTCCTTAAGAATCACTTCTGGTTCAGGCAAATTGAGTAGTGGGTATTGGGGAATTGTTTTAATTTTTTTAAGCTCTCTCTGTTTCGAACTTCTGTTCAGATTTGGTCTGAACTCACAGACATCCAATCTCTACATGTGGTGGTTTTACAGGCCCACGTGACGCGGGCTAAAAACAGACACAGAAAAACGAGTGCCTATAATTATCTATTTTAAATAGAACTTTGTCCCTGAGAGCTTTCTACTCCAAAATCGAACAGTTTCTCCAGATTCCCAGTGAACAAAGAGAAAACTCCATTGGGCTACAGTATCCCATTAAAAAGGCTCAGCCAACCGCAAGCGAAGAAGTGACAAGTTTCATCTCATTTGCATAAACCCATCCACATGTGCTCACCAAAAGAGTACAGGCTGGCAACCCAGACTCAGCTCATTAGAAAGAGCCAGCAAATGAGGATTTACTGAGAACCTTTCTTGGGTCATTAAGGGCAAAATCCCCAATCCACTTAACTACAGAATGTCCCCACGGTTCTGAATGGGATGCCTTTATACCAGGAGTTTGAGAATGGCACCCAAAGAAGAAAAGAAATCCATGAGCAATTCCCCAGAAAGTTGGCTATTTAAAGCAGCTTAAATGTGCCTCTGTATTTCTTTTTCCTCTGGGACCTCTTCCTTCACAGCAGCTGCGGCAACATCACGATCATTCAAATAATTTGTAAAAGAGATTTTATTTGTCATACGCTGCAAACTGTTGCAGCTCACAGACACAGGTTTGAACTAGTTTGGTAGCAAAATACAGGAGAGAAGGAAATGAAGGGAAGCCTCAAAGATGCACATCCCAGCAGAGGTTGGAAACTTTTATTTATGTGTTTGTTTATTGGGTTGTACAACCCAGAATCCAGCAAGCTAGCTAAGGGATTCTCAGAATTCTAGCTCAAAAAAGTAACTTTTCCACGCTCTACAGCTGAGCGTTCTTGCTCTGGAAGCTACAAGGAAAACAAAAGGGATTAGGAGAGGAAATAACTTTTGACAAACCACAATGAACATCGCTAAGCAAATTTCCAGACATGTTCATAAGATCCAACTGTGATTAATTAATTTGTGATAAACAACACCGCATAGATATTCATCATTGTTGCAAAACCAATGGAAACTCTTTGTTGCTGATTCTCAACATTTCGTACTGCTTATCCTTAAGCACACTTGAACCATAATTATGTTCACAGTAAAACATCTCTTACTTATTCATTTTAATGCATACACAGTCAATTCTAGATCAAATGAGGTTATGGTATCATAGCATTCCTTCATAACAAAGGCCATGCAATACTTTTATACATGCCCAAAATGGTTTAAAAGGACCTGTGATTTTGCACCTCTACTTTTAATTGGGAAATAAAACAAGTGCAATCAGAAAACATGATCAAGACATCATCACCTCCAGCTTCTCACCCAGTTTTATACACAGTGAGCACAAAAATTGCAACCCACGTAGCTTCTTTCTTGCAAAAAAAATTATATATCTCAGCAGGCCATTGCTGGTTATCTCATCTGGCCTTTGAATATGTCCCAGCTTGTTTCAAACGCCAACCCGATGGTTTTCAAATTAACCTATGACTGTCACTTTGCAGATCCTAAAGGTAAGCTGTGGACAGCTAATGGCCAAGATCTATTGGGTCTGGAAAATATTACAAGTGGATATCTTACAAACATCTGCCAATAAGGAAAGACAACTTTTGAACACCACTTAGCACTGAATAGTTAGCTGGCAATGGAGTGATGCTCACACTGCAGGACAGCCTCCACTCTTGGGAAGCATGAAACACCTTAAAGGGAAGACAAAAAGTTACAGAAAGAGAGAAAAGCACATGGGATCCAGAGGCAGGCAACCCCATTCTTCTTTCATATGTTAAGACATATGGAGAGGTTATGTGACCCCCATAGCATAGAGTCCTCATCAGCTGGCTCTAGGGAGAATTAGATATGTCTTGTTCTAGTCCCCCTTTCAAAAGCCAGTGTTGGCTAAAGACCCCAGTCCACAACCTTTTGCACGTAACGCCAGCAGGTGGCACACACGGGAGGAGAGCGTGCCATGGACCTGACCATGCTCTGCTGTCCATATGGGTGGTGCTGGGGAATGGCAATGGAAAAGGTAAGGCATGCTAAGTTTTGAGAAACATGACATTAACCCCCTCCTGTTAAACAGTGGTTCATAATCACATTCAGAAGGTTCAAATGTCACTTCAAATGTGGCTGGCTGTTTTGTCCAAGCAAAGGGTTGATGACTCTGGGTGAAGTGGTGGACTCAAATGCCAGCAGAGAACTTGAAGAATGCTCATAAATAACAATCTCGAATAAATGTTTTCAGACCAGCTCATAGAAAGTACAAAACAAGGCTTCTGCACAGCTGGCTCCAAATTTGAAAGGGGCCCCACCAAAGCATGCAATGGTGGGTGCTATCAGTCTGGAAATTTTGTGTGTTTTATGTGCCTTCAAGTCAGGACTGACTTAACAGGGCTTTCAAGGTAAGTGAGATATTTGAGGAATGGTTTTCAAAGTTCTGCCCTTCTCCCATGGGTTTCCATTGCCATGTGGGGATCTGAATTCAGGTCCCCTGAATCCTAAAGTAGTAGTCTATCCACTACTATACACTGGAAATTTTAACTTTCCAACATGCCCCAAAGTGGCACATGCAAAGGGCACTGTGGAAGACAGCTACTTCCATTAATCACCACCAGGTAGGCTGATTGTTAGGACCCCAGGGCAGAGATCAGTGCTAATGGGTTGTGACCCACTCTTGGGATCTCAGGAAACTTTCCAAGTGTTTTAAGCACTGACACCTTTCCTTGGCTGCCAGAACCTCCCCCATACAGTGGGTGCACTAGTAAGAACCAGAGTGTGGGAAAGCTGCCTTTTCAGACTATAACTCCCAGAATCCCCATACATATGGCTACTGGGCCACTATACACTTCACATCAATGGTAGGGCAAAGTTACATATTGAATTACAAGTCAGAAAGACTCTCAGACAGCATGGCTGCTGGCAACAGGGGATTCTGGGCATTGTGATCCCAAGCACAGCTCTGGACTGCTGTGACACACACACACACACACACACACAGAGAGAGAGAGAGAGAGAGAGAGAGAGAGACTATGATGCTTGCGACCTGGTTCCATCATCTTCTTGGTTCCTTCCGGCTTCCTTCCAGAGATCCAGGAGTGACCTGCCCTCAAATATTTCCTGCACACCTTTCCTCAACCCCTCCAGCACAGAGAGAGAGAGAGAGAGAGAGAGAGAGGCTCACCCATGTTCACGAAGCTCATGACCATATCCGCCTCGGTGAGGAAGTTGCTATCCTGCAAGCTGGCCAGGGGTGGCCCTTGGGTGCTGAAGATGGGCTTGTAAGGGTAGGAGTAGCCCTCGCCCCCGGCGCCGGCCCCGGCCCCTTCCTCCTCCACCGACATGGCATTGTAGAGGTCCAGCATGAACATGGGCGCCGAGTTGTGCTTGCCGTGGAGATGGGGCCTCGGCCGGTGGGGCAAGCCCAGGATGGACAAGATCTCCCGCTGCATCTCCCGCCGCTCTTGGCTCCGGAGCCTCCGGTGGATGAAACTCGAGTGCACCTCGTTCTCCAGCGTGAAGTCCGCCCGGGAGCCCCGAAGCTCCACAGTCCACACCAAGCAGAGCCACAGGAGCCG